GCTGGCCCGGAGCCTCCGCGGGCTCTCGCTGTCGGTGCCGCGCTGGTGCCGGGAGCCCGCGGGGGCCCCGGGGAAGCTGGAAAAGCTGGAAAAGCTGGAAAAGTTGGAAAAGGCGGAGGAGAAGAGGGCGGGAAAGGCGGGGAGGCCGCGCTTGGTGATCACGGAGCAGCCGAAGCAGCGCGGGATGAGATTCCGCTACGAGTGCGAGGGGAGATCGGCCGGGAGCATCCTCGGGGAGAGCAGCACCGACAGCAGCCGCACCCTGCCCAGCATCGAGGTGAGAGCCGGGAAAACCGGGAAAAACCGGGAAAAACGGGAAATCCCAAAAAATCCCCAAAATTCCCGGCGTTTCTAGCCCAGAAATCCTCCCAAAACCCCGAAAATCCCCATTTTTCTGGCCCAGAAACTCACCCGAACTCATGAAAATCCCCATTTTTCCCCGGAAATCCTTGGTTTGGGGTGGATTGGGGAGGTTTGGGGTGGATTTGGGATGGATTTGGGGAGGTTTGGGGAGGTTTGGGATCGGCCGGGAGCATCCTCGGGGAGAGCAGCACCGACAGCAGCCGCACCCTGCCCAGCATCGAGGTGAGAGCCGGGAACAACCGGGAAAAACGGGAACAACCGGGAAAAACGGGAAATCCCAAAAAATCCCCCAAAATCCCCAAAAATCCCGGCGTTTCTAGCCCAGAAATCCTCCAAAAACCCCCAAAATCCCCATTTTTTCAGCCCAGAAACTCATCCAAACTCATGAAAATCCCAATTTTTTATCCCAGAAATTCTCCAAAACTCACTCAAATCCCGATTTTTCCCAGTGATTTTTCCCGCACCTTTCCCCGATTTTTTTCCCCATTTTTCCCGCCCCTTTCTCTGATATTTCCCCAATATTTTCCCGATATTTTCCCGATTTTTCCCGATTTTTCCCCATATTTCCCCCTACCTTTTCCTGATTTTTCCCCGTGTTTTTTCCCATTTTTCCCGTGTTTTCCCCAGCTCCTGGACTGCCAGGCCATCCCGGAGGTGGCGGTGACGGCCGTGCTGGTGTGGAAGGATTGGCCCCACCGCGTCCACCCGCACGGGCTGGTGGGCAAGGATTGTTCCCAGGGGCTGTGCCGGGTGATCCTGCGGCCCCACAGCAACCCCCGGCACAGGTGAGGACAAAACAACCCGGGGCTCGGGGGGAAAAACGCAATTCTGGGGAAAAAAAATGGAATTCTGGGGAAAAAACCCGGAATTCTGGGGAAAAAAAATGGAATTCCACAAAAAACCCCAGAATTCACAGGGGAGAAAATGGAATTCTGGGGAAAAAAAATGGAATTCCACAAAAAAACCCGGAATTCATAGGAAAAAACCCGGAATTCACAGGGGAAAAAATGGAATTCCACCAAAAAAACCCGGAATTCACAGGGAAAAATGGAATTCCACAAAAAAACCCCAGAATTCACAGGGGAAAAAATGGAATTCTACAAAAAAAACCCGGAATTCACAGGGGAAAAAATGGAATTCTGGGAAAAAAAAATGGAATTCCACCAAAAAAACCCTGGAATTCACAGGGAAAAAATGGAATTCTGGGGAAAAAAATGGAATTCACAGGGAAAAAATGGAATTCTGGGGAAAAAAAATGGAATTCATAGGAAAAAACCCGGAATTCACAGGGGAAAAAATGGAATTCCACCAAAAAAACCCGGAATTCACAGGGAAAAAATGGAATTCCCGGGGAAAAAAATGGAATTCATAGGAAAAAAATGGAATTCACAGGAAAAAAATGGAATTCACAGGAAAAAAATGGAATTCCACAAAAAAACCCCGAATTCACAGGGAAAAAATGGAATTCCCAGGGAAAAAATGGAATTCCACAAAAAAACCCTGGAATTCCCAGGGAAAAAAATGGAATTCCCAGGGAAAAAATGGAATTCATAGGAAAAAAATGGAATTCATAGGAAAAAAATGGAATTCCCAGAAAAAGCCCCCATAATTTCCAGAAATAAACCCAAAATTCCCAGAAATAAACCCCAAAATTCCCAGATAAAACCTGGAATTCCCTCCCAAAAACCTCCGGAATTCCCAAAAAACAAAACCCCCCCCCGGGAAGGGGCCGGGAAAATTTGGGAATTTCGGGGATTCCTGGCAGCTTCAGCAATTTGGGGATTCAGTGCGTGAAGAAGAAGGAAATCGAGGGCGCCATCGAGAAGAAGCTGCAGCTCGGGATCGACCCCTTCAAAGGTCAGCACCTCCCCTTTTCCATGGATTTCCTGCAATTTCCTGGAATTTCCGGGAATTTCCATATTTTTCCCCATTTTCCTGGCTTTTTCCCTGCTTCTTTTGCGTTTTTTCCCCTTTTTTTCTGTGTTTTTTGCCCATTTTCCCCATTTTTTCCCCCATTTCTATTTGGATTCCTCTGGAACCGCCTTTCCCCGCTTTGTTCCCAATTTTCCCCAATTTCCCCCCATTTTCCATCCTTTTTCCCACAATTTTTTCCCTGTTCCCCCCATTCCTGCCCCCATTTCTCCCCTTTTCCCCCCATTTTTCCCATTTTTCCCATTTTCCCCATTTTCCCCCCATTTCTCTCCCGTTTTTCCCCATTTTTCCCATATTCCCCCAATTTTTACCATTTTCCCCCCTTTTTTCCCCATTTTCCCCCATTTCTCCCCCATTTTTCTCCATTTTTCCCATTTTTCCCCATTTTTTCCCCATTTCCCTCTATATTTTCCATTTTCCTCCCATTTTTTCCCATTTCCCCCAAATTTTCCCATTTCCCTCCCTGTTTTTCCCCATTTTCCCCCCATTTTTCCCATTTTATCACATTTTTCCCCATTTTTTCCCATTTTCCCCACATTTTTCCCAATTTGTCCCCCCTTTTTTCCCATTTTTTCCCTTTTTTTCCCCCCCATTTTTCCCATTTTTCCCATTTTTTACCCATTTTTTTCCATTTTCCCCCCATTTTTCCCCCGTTTTTCCCCCATTTTTTCCCATTTTTCCCCCATTTTTCCCCCGTTTTTCCCCCATTTTTCCCCATTTTCCCCCCGTTTTATGTCATTTCTCCCATTTTTCCCCGTTTTCCCGCCGTTTTTCCCCCTTTCCCGGTCTTTTCCAGCGGGATCCCTGCGGAACCATCAGGAAGTCGATCTCAACGTGGTCCGGATTTGCTTCCAGGCCTCGTTCCGGGACCGGGCCGGGATCCCCCGGAGCCTCAGCCCGGTGCTGTCCCAGCCCATCTTCGACAAGAGTGAGTCCCAAAGAACCCCAAATCCACCCCAAAAATATCCTGGAACTACCCTGAAAATATCCTGGAAATATCCTGAAATTATCCTGAAATTATCCTGGAAATATCCTGAAAATATCTTTAAAATGTTCTGAAAATATCCCGAAATTATCCTAAAAATATCCCAAAAATATCCCCAAAATATCCCGAAATTATCTTTAAAATACCCCCAAAAATATCCTGGAAATGTCCCCAAAATATCCCGAAATGATCCCAGAATATTCCCATGGAATCCCCCCCGGAGCCTCAGCCCGGTGCTGTCCCAGCCCATCTTCGACAAGAGTGAGTCCCAAAAAACCCCAAATCCACCCCAAAAATATCCT